CTTTCCCCCTGTCTTCCCTCTCCACCCAACCTAGCTTTTATCTCTTTTCCAAGCTTGATTTCTATATTGCTGTTCCTCTCCAAATGTTTTTTACTTAATCTTATATTCATGGTTTTATATGATGCTTTAAATCCTTTTTCCTGATTAAGAACGTCAATGAGTACTGAACTCAGACAAGCACTAATCAAATACTGTGTGTGTTATTTGTACGAGAATTTGTTTTCCACTCTGAGATGGTTTTTCTCCTTATGATCTCGATGAATATCTGTTCATCCTTCAAGGCTCCCTGCCTGTGTCCTCTTCTCTCATGCAGAAAGTGGAGCTGCTCACTTATTGCAACACTGTGCCTGCTTCTGTGGATTCACTCATCACACTTCATCTTTCTGGTTGCATCTGACTCTGCTCACAGATTATCAGCCCCTTTCAAGCAATGTCTGCACTTTATCATTTTCCTGTGCCCGTTCTCTACTCTCTATGCCCAGCCTGTAACCCAGTATCAGGAAAAAAGTATGTATTAACCATGAATCCATCTTCACATCATTGCTTTACTGATTAAGCAACGGTGTGAAGACAGAACAGTGAACATGGCTTATTTCGGGAATGGTGAGAGGACCTGTTTGAAGGACTTAAGGACCAGGTGATGAGTAAAGATTAGTAGGAACTATGGTTAAATATGAAGTTGTGTGGGAGTAGAAAAGGCAGACTTGGATTGTGGGGAAGTTTAATTTGTATTGAGTACATCGTATTTAATTAGCATATCATGCTGCTGTGAGTCACTTTAAAACATCGAGAATGACAATGGAAAGTTGATTATTTTGGCAACAGAATAAATAATAAATTAGGGCAATGTAAACCAGTGTCAGGGAGATTATATGAGACAGTAGAAATCCAGCATGGGAGGAAAAGCTGAGATTACAAAGCTTATAACCTTAGCAGGAGCAAATTTTTTACATAGAAAATGTTCTGTGGTATGAATTATGAGTTTTTTAGATAATATATAGTAGGGGGCTAATGATTTTCACTTTCCTAATTAGAAGTAAAAATCTTACCATACAAATATTGAAAATTAAAAAAATTAAAATTGAAAGTACAACTTGTGTTGGTCTTTACAGTCATAAATAAGTAAAGAAACTAATTCCCATGTAATGGGTTACTTGACGAGTGATATCAGCCATTGAAATTTTCTTGTAATAGTTCAATGTGGAGGGTAATTCACACTCATTTTTTTAATGTTGATTATTTGTAAAGCTGCAGTTGATAGACTTTGCAAGTGATTACAACACAATTATTAATGTATTCATAACATTGTCACCCAGGAAAGAGTTTGTGTTATTTAGGTAGTCCTGACATGGCAAAATATCACAGACTGGGTGGTTTAAAGAGCAGAAATTTTTTTCCCACAGGCTAGACATTCTGCTATCAGGTTTGGTTTCCCCTGAGAACTCTCCCTGGGCTTGTAGACAGCCGCCTTCTTTGTCATCACATGGCTTTTCCTCTGCGAACTCACCCCCAGTATTGCTTGCTTTCTTATAATACCAGTGCTATCGGTTTTCAGTCCCACCCTAAGTGCCTCCTTTTAACTTAGCCCCCTCTTTAAAGACTTTCTCTACAAATGAGGTTACATTCTTAATACTGAGGATTGGAATTTCAACATCTGAACTTGGGGGAATCACAATTCACTTTTTAATAGGATTCATGCAGATTTCTTTCAATATAGGGGTCTATGCTATACTTCTTTGATGATTGCTTCTTTGATGATATCTAGTAAATGCTTTATTTGATGTAATTATAAATTTTATACATTTTGAAAAGTAAATTCAGAATTCCAAAGAAATGAAGAAATGTTTATTTCACTCAAATTTTCTTTTCCCTACTTGACTTAATTTTAGACTGTTAATTTTATACATTTAACCTTTAAATTGATGCATATTTCATCCTTTTTCTGTAACTATAAAAATATAAATGGCCCCATATTATTTAATTTTAGATTATCAAAATTTTAACTTTATAAAAGCATTATGAGAAAAAAGCTTTATAAAAGACATACTATCCATTTTGATATGTGAACTTGTATGATGTCTTAATTTTTCTGCTTCTCAGGTTTCTATCCTATGAGGTAGAATAAGAAATATTTATCACATAAGGTTGTTATGGAAAGTAAGATATAGTATGTGGATGTATACACAGAAGGTTTGGGTTCTTTCTCACTTTATGCCCTAACCTACTTTTATGGAACCTAAGCATAACAACAGGGGTTTTTCTCACATTATTATCCACTGACTCAAAAATCTGTTTAATTTCTATAAGCAAATAATGAACTAGCAGAAGAGAAATCAGGAAAGCAACCCCATTTACAAGCACATTGAAAAGAATGACATACGGGCCTCCCTGGTGGTGCAGGGGATTAAGACACAATTTATGAAGCTATCTGCAGCCACTGCAGCACAAGTTCAATCCCTGGCCAAGGAGCTACCCACATGGCGCAGCAGACCTCTCCTAACTCACCCACTGCTCCCCTCAGCAGTGTATTTCAGTCAATCTGCCTGTTCTGTTCCCCGTTCTGTCTCTGGTGGATCCTCTCACCCCTCCCTCCCCCCGCTCCTCTGGCAATAAAACCCACAGGTGCAAGGAATAGCTGCTGTACAGGGCCCCCTATGGTTATAGACTACGTCAGATGCCACCACTGGGGCTCCTAAGACCTGACACCGCTCTGGATAAGGGATGTATGAGCAGGCACCCAGGATTGAGGGTGCATCACTAGAGAGCTGCAGAGTAAGGACTACTGGTTTCAGTATGAGACTTTTAATACAGAATAATTGTAGCTTGAACTGAGTCAGTGCACCTGGACTTCTCTGCAAGAGGTTACCACTTGAAGTCTAAGCTGAGCTATCCAGAACACTGGCCAGGCCTTACGAAGAAATGCTTAAACTACTAGAACTCAAGCACTACCAAGAGCAGGAGTGGACACCCCAGGATACGACTCTGTTCTGAGGAGGAAAAGAGAACAACTCCTGGTGTGTGATCCCACATCAGCTGCAATGTGGAGAGAAGGGAACACCTACCCACTGTTGGTAGAATCATAAATTGGTGTAGTCTTTATGGAAAGCAATGCTGAGAGCAAGCATTTCCAGATAGTTACCTGAAAAATATGAAAACACTAATTTGAAGAATATGCATCTCCACATTCATTTCAGTACCATATACAGCAACCAAAAACTGAAATCAAGCTAAGTGCCAGCAATTGATGAATGGCTTACAAGTGGGGCCATATATGCACAGCGGAGTTCCATTTTGTATTAAAAAAAAAAAAAAAAACATGAAATCTTGTAATTTGCAGAAACATGGCTAGACCTAGGGGGAATTATGTTTTGTGAAATAAGCCACATAGAGAAAGACAGATATTTTTTGATTTCACTCATATGTGGTATAAGGAGGAAACAGATGCACTAAGCAAAACAAAAATGTACCTTTGGACTCTAAGACTAATTAATGGCTATCTGAAGAGAAGCCGGAAGAAGGATGGAAAAATTGGGACAAAGGGATAATAGTATGAGAGACAGATTTGGACTCTTAGCAGTGTAGTGTATATATATGTTGATTCTCAACAATGAACAACTGAAACTTATGTAACTTTATAATGCAATGTTACTTCACACACACACACACACACACAAATAAAAATCTGGTAACTCAGAATCCCCACAGAGCATCAGTTATTGTGCTATATTACAATTCCTTATCCCTTTTTACATTTGTATGACTGTTTTTATAAAATGAAATGTCCTAGATTCCTATGCAGCTTTTTCAATTTTTATGTATATTTTTAATTTTTCTTGTATTGCTTCCTGCACATCAGCTTACCAGCTGTCACTTTTTATTGAAATCAGTGAAACATCTTCTGTCAGTCTCCCACACTTCAAATGTTGTTTCAAATATACTGTCAGCTGGAAAGTCGGGTGATCAAGCCTAGTGGAATTTGGAGAGATGTAGGGGAGCGGTAATCTGAAAGTCACAAGTCCAGACTCAACTATGCTGGATAATTTATGTAACTTTTTCATTTGATCCTTAGAACAACCCAAGTTGGAGAGAGATGCTATGACTACTTTAATTTTGTAGATGAGGTAACTGAGACTTCAGGAAGTCCTTTACTCAAGAACAAGTATGTAGTGGGGGGCCTCCCTGGTGGCACAAGGGGTTAAGACACAGCCTATGAAGCTATCCACAGCCACAGCAGCATGATTTCGATCCCTGGCCAGGGACGAAGCCCACATGGAGCAGCAGACCTCTCCTGTCTCACCCACTGCTCCCCTCAGCAGTGTATTTCAATCAGTCTGCCTGTTCTGTTCCCCACTCTGTTTCTGGTGAATCCTCTCACTCTCCCCCGCCACCCCCCCACATCTGACCTATTCCCCCGTTCTTGTATGCATAAATAAATCTTTTTTTTAAAAAAAAAAAAGAACAAGTATGTAGGAAGCAACAGAGTCAGCATCTGAAATCGGAACTTCCCTCTCCAGGTTCACACACTTACATCATGTGCCCAAAGAAACACTGTGCGCGTGCTGCTGTTAAGTCACTCATCTCACTGCACCTTCTGTTTACATCTGGCTCTGCTTATAGATCATCAGCCTCTTTTGAGCAATGGCTGCACTTTTTTTCATATTTCTATGCCCAGTATCTAATCTCTATGTGCAACTTTTAGCCCAATACCAAGAAAAAAGTAGATATTAACCATTGTGTATAGATGAGACTGATGAATCAGTGATTATGACCATTATGGAAAAAACTCCACAATCTTTGAAGTGTTTCTGAGAATAGTGACTGTACTGGTAAACTTCCATTGTAATCCCTCTAAGTAACCAAGATCATACTATGTACTCTAAAAGAGTTGGGAAGGAGAAATAATAGTGCCTACTAGGGAGACAGTGATCCTTGATGTGATACCATCAAGGAGGTAACTGTTCTGAGGAGAGTAAACATAACATGGGTTTGAGTAGCTGGATAATTTTAAAACCTGGAATGGTCTTTACAACATGCATCAGTTTCTTCATTCTGGATAGGGTGGTGGTGGGATCAATTAAGAATGATGTGAAGACAGAACAATGGACATGGCTTTTTCAGGCAAGGGTGAGAAGACCTGTTTGAAAGACAAGAATGAGTGATAATTAAAGATAAGTAGAAACTATGATTAAACATGAAGTTGTGTGGGGAGATAGAAAGTGGGAGTTGGATTATGGAAAAGTCTTCCGATTTGGTCTTGGACATGGTATCTTTATTCCTTTAATGAATTACTAACAACCCCAAGCTTCTTGCTCCATATTGATCTAAGTTTGAGTCCACCGTATAGCACTTTTCTCAAAGTTCCTAAGTAATTTTATGATATTTAATTAAACACCATAGCACACTGTTTCCTTCCAATTTACATATTATAAAAATTGATCATGGGATAAAATGATTGCTCAAGCAAATCTTGTTGAATTATTATTTTCATGTGGCTAATGCTTTTTGAATGATTGCTACATGCCAATCTTCATGGTATTGTTCTTTGCGAACTTCACCATCACCCTGTGAGGGGAATGCTATTATGTCACCTATTGTGTAGGTGAGAAATTGAGGTTGAACTGAGTAGTTAAGTAACTTGCCAGTCAGTCGGAACCAGTAGAGCTGAATTCAAATCGAGACAGCTGAATCCAGCAGGAGAGAGAAGTAGCGATGTGACTCTAACTCTGACTTTGAACAGATAGAGATTTTCAAAGATGCACACCTGGAACTTATAGACTGTTACAGTGCAATGTTATTTCAATAGAAAAAAATTAAAAAATGCAGAAGAAAATTTCAACAGTATTGGAAAGATTCAGTAACAGTTTAGATTCATTGAGCAGAAAATATATCACCTTGATGGACTTCAGAATCAAGAAGCCACAAGCAATGATACAGAACTATGGGCTGAACTAGAGGATAGGTAATGGAACCTACATATTCATTTTAATTTCATTTGAATTAGGTTACTATGTAACCTAAATGTATAATTTTCTGTTAACCCCAGAATTATCTGTAAGTCCTAATTTTTTTTGTTATGATTTCCCTATAGGGAAAGTTTCCTGGGAGTCAATCTATTTTTTGCTCTCTGTGGTTGCTTTTCCCACTAATTCTATCTTTTGTTTTGGTGACAGGCTTTCCTACCATCTCCATAGCTAACCCAGTCTGCCTTTTTCCCCTTTGCTCTCAAAATCATCACATTTTTGACACCTGATGCACTCAACCCTTCTCCTTTCTGTCTACTTCCTGAAGAACTCAAGTTTTCAAGTGAAACTGAACAACCCAGTTATAAATATCCTTAATGTTTTTTGATTATAGTCGTCCCTCATTAACCTAAATAAACCTTGCTATCTGGAACTTCCATAATTTCAGTTTATAACCACAGCTTGCTATCTTTCTAACTTCATTAATGCCCTATCCCAACTACATTGGCGTATCTGCTGAGGAAGGAAAGGACAGGAAGAAATAACCAACAGACTTAGAGAATGTCTGAAGCAATTACCAGAGATGTTCATGGGGTAGGGAAGGGAGATGTACAGAAAATTACAAGATCCATTGAGGATCTTGCCCATCCATTACCTTCTTGCCAGCTGCACCCCTGGCACCAGGAAGGAGGTTATGGGACACACAATTGGGTCAAGGATTGTAAGGGAAGGGAGACAATTTACCAGTGTGGTAAAATATCCCCTGGGGTCATTTTATCAGATGGCATTTTTATCATATGGCATAATATATCCTTTCTTGAATGTGTTTAAAAAAAGGAAACATTAGGGCCTCCCTGGTGGCACAAGGGATTAAGACACAATCTATGAAGCTATATCCCCAGCCAGGGAGCTAACCCACATGGCGTAGCAGACCTCTCCTGACTTGCACTGCTCCCCTCAGCGGTATATTTCAGTCAATCTGCCTGTTCTGTTCCCCACTCTGTCTCTGGTGAATCCTCTCACCTCCCTACAGCTCTGGCCTGTGCCCCAGTTGTTGTATGCATAAATAAATCTTCAAAAAAAGAAACATTCCCCTTCCTACCAGATGAAATTAGGGGAATTGTTGATGTGATTTTCATGCTTGCATCTTAATTCAGAGAAAGTTTACATATAAATGGAATTTATAATTATTATAATACCTGTTTCCAGATTTTTTTTTTTAAGATTTATTTATTTTATTTATACAAGCACTGGGTAGAGTCAGAAGTGCGGGAGAGTGAGAGAATTCACCAGAGCCAGAGTGGGGAACAGAACAGGCAGACCAACGAAATACACTGCTGAGGGGAGGTCTGTCACGCCATTTGGGACCCTGGCCAGTGAGCGAACCAGTGCTGCAGAGGCTGCAGGCAGCTTCGCAGCCCTGCGTTCAACCGCTGCGCCACCAGGGGAGGCCCAAGTTTCCAGATTTCTTAATAAAGTTCAGAAATTTTGCAAGGAGCACTGGGGTAAGGTAATTATGAGAAGCATTGTGACTACTTCAGTCTACCCACCAAGCAATCAGTGGAATAGTATTTTTATTTTCCTCTTCACTGTACTCATTTTCCTGACACTAAAATAAACTTTGAAAATGATGGCCTCTGCCATTCACCCACCAAAAGACTGTACCTCAAACCATCCATGAGACTTTTTGCTAAAATAAGCAAATTTTGTTTGAAATTTTCTGCTAAAATGTAAAAAAAGATCCCCACAAAAGGTTAAAACTATAGTGAGGGACATCTTGGTAGCTAAAATTAGATTTGTTCTCATTAACAAAGGCCAGGGCACACAACGAGGAAATATGAAGTCACCTTTGTTGAAAACATTCTAACCTTTCATCATTGCTGAATTCCTACAGAGTAACAGGCAGAATGTGTCTTGCTTTCAATGCTTTCCCATCTTCTATGTTAATTTAATGGTTGGTAAGACCATTAAAAACAGCTATCTAAATGAGGTTCTCCTTTCAAATCTATCCTTTTAATGAATTTTTAAAATATAAAATATGATCCTAGGTAATATGTTATGTCAGTGTTGTTTTTTCCTGTCATAGCCAGAAATAAAAGTCATAGCCTGTCATAGCCAGAAATAAAAGCTTCTCCAAGTCATTCCCTCTTGAAAAACTGAAACCTGAGTAGATTAACTTCAATGCTTTCTCACCTGCCCCCAGTTTTGCAAGCTGCAGGAAAACTAAAATTTAGCATTAAGCCGCTTGTGCATAGAAAAGGATCATTTTTACTTAGTGAGGCCTGAAGAAACTCAGTTGCTGAACTTGCCTCATTTTCTTCATGTCTTCAAAACAGAGAAACATGAATAAAAATGACAGAAAGTGCATCATTTGAAAACAAAGTTGGTGGAATTAGTACAGCAGCCGTTAATGAATGAAAAGCTTTCCAATTTTATTCTTAAACATCATGGTCTTCTCTGCCAGTTTTATTGAGGCCTCTAAATTGTAAGTATTTACTGTGTACAGGAATACTTGAGATTTAGTCTCTTAGGAAATATCAAGCAAGTCCAGTCACCACATCATACATTAGGTCTCCAAACCTTATTCATCTGATAATGAAAGTCTGTAGTATCTTTGACCACTATCTTTCCATCTACCCCAGGGGGGTAGTGTTTGGTGGGAAACAATCACCATATTACAGTGAGAAGAAAAAGAAAACATACTAGCAGCATGTCTCTGCGGGAGTCAATATCTCCAGAGAAGCAGTCAATCTGCAGCTCTGCTAGAAGGAAAGCCCCTGAGTGGTATTTATTTCACCAAGGAAGCCTTCTAAAGATGGGGCAATTTGGTGTGTGATCCTCTCCCAAGTAATCAAAATACTCCATGAGGCTGTGAATTATCCAAAGTGGGGTGGCTAATCAAACATCCATTCCATTTTCAAGTCCTAAATTTGGAATTTTAATATGGCTTCACCACCTGAATTGCTTTAGCAGTGTTCTTTTTGAGAACCTGTAACTATAACTGCTACCATAGTCTCTTTTCAGTAATAAAAGCTTTGGTTTGATAGGTCCTATGGTAATAATAGTAATTAACTTAATTTTAGTTTTATTTCAATTATTATATAGATTGTGAGATGGGAAACATTTTGCAAAATGAATTAGCTGTTTTTTAAAATACTGGACTTGTTCCCCTGACTCCTTCTGTTCTGTAAAGTAACAAAGATAACAAGGGAGGGAAGTACTTCACACTTCAGTAAAACTGGAGACATGGGTACATAATATGCAGAAGACTGCCAGGTGTAGTGAATGTCAAATAGAGATGAGGGAAAATAACAGAGAAAGCATGCCCGTAGCTAGAATATCAAACAATGGGGCAGAACACAGTTCTTTAAAGTAGGCTTTATGGATTAAGTCAAGTGCCCAGAGTTAATGTGAACAATAATGGCAAAAGTTGACATCATGGATGTCTTGAGAAAGCTGCAACATAACTAATACCTGCTCTCCTTCCCTAAAAAGCAGTATGAATTTAATGTTGAACTAATAAGCATACAATCTTTGTTTTGATTTTTAAAGATCATTTATACATACAAGAACTGGGGTGTAAGCCAGAGGTGCGGGGGGTGAGAGGCTTCACCAGAGACAGAGCAGGGAGCAGAGCAGGAGGATCTACTGACATACACTGCTGAGGGGAGCAGCAGGCAAGACAGGAGAGGTCTGCTGCGCCATGTGGGTAGCTCCCTGGCCAGGGATCGAACTCATGCTGCAGTGGCTGGCGCATAGCTTGATAGCGCTCTTCAACTCCTGCACCACCAGGGAGGTTCTATTTTGATTTTTCTATTTTCTTACATCCTTGTTAATTTTTGGAAGCATTTGATTTCTCCCCTCAGGTGTCTTCCCCATAGTTCTTCCACCACCATAGCCCCCATAATCCAGGGCCACAGTCCCTTGTGCTCTCCCCTCCCATTCTGACCCCATACCTTCCCTCTTTCATCTCTACAATCTTTTCTTCCCCCGCCCTGCCCTCCACATACTGGGCTGTGACAGACACCCAGCAGAAATGAAATAGGCCCCTCACCCCAAATTTGATTTGTGTGTTGAGACTGAAGATAGCTTTCCACACACACCAAGACAGATGGAAAGGTTTGCTACTCAAATAATGAAGGTTTCTGCATAAAGCGGGTCTCAGGCACATCCACAATGACCCAATAGAGAAGAACAGGAGCCATGCTTGAAGTTTACATTGTGACTAGGGATGGGGCGAAGGGAGGTTTTCTACAAATGGGCAGGTTTGAATGATTTGGGACTTCAGATGTACCCAAAGGGAATACTTAGGCTTCCTTATGGCATGCCCAGAGTGGGGCAGATGCAGAATTGGTAGAGACTGGCAAGTTGTCAGCAAACACCAACAAATCGAGTAACATGCTACATGCTTCTAAAATGCCGATATAAAGATGTAAAAAGCACATAGAACTATTCCATAGTAAAGAAGATTAAAGAGCCCTGATGACTAAAATCAGCGGCTGATCTTCCATTGGAACCTGGATCAGGAAAAAATGCTTTCTAATACATTGCTGGGACAATTGGTGGGTTTTGACTATACATGATATGACATAGCCAAGGTAACATCCCTGAACTTGAGAATTACATGTGGTTATCTCAGAGAGTGTTTTTGTTCCTTGTAGGTCTGTAAAGTATGTATAGGCAAGGATAATATTTACTGAACCTGCAATTGGTTCAGTAAATATAAATATATTTACATATACATAGATGTCAAGCGTTTCTATAACTGTAGTAGAGAGAGAAACTGAGACTGTATCAAATGTTCACAAGGTGATTTAGTTACCCTGTACCTGTTACTTTGCCTTGGTTCCCTTGTAAGTTAAACTCAGAAAATTTCTGTAGCTTCGATTTCTTTTTCGAAATAAAAAGATAATCTTTCCAAAATAAAGATAATATAAAGATATGAATCTTTTAATTGGACACAAAGGTGCAGGAATCATGAACTGGCAAGTAGACGTTCTATGGGCCCTTTGTGCTGCTATACAAATAGGGAAAGACCCACGGGACACTAGCTTTGCAGGATGCAACTGCCTTTGCAGGGTGGGAGAGAGAGACTGTGCAAAGCTGTTACTTTTTGTTGAGTGTGAAGAAGACAAAAACAACTTACATGCTCACACTTGCCATGGGTCATAGCAGAGGTCTTGTCTGGTGATTACTGTGTAGCTACGGATATTTTTTGTGTTTCCAGAGTTTAAATGCTAGTTCACCTATGGAAAGTTAAACATGGGGTTCAAATCTGACTTTGGCTCAACTTCTATCACCTATTTGCTTTATAGCATGCTGTATGTGACAGCACCTTGCAGCTGGAATCTGCGCAACCTGAAGACAGCTGTCCTGAAAGGATCATACTAGGTGTGGCTTCGCTTTGGGAGGAGTGTGTTGGAGTGCAGCGGAGATTATGAAAATGGCTACAACACCAACACGGCTGCTGGAACGGTGATGAACCTGCATAGTTTGGGATGGTTGCACTACAAGGAGGAGGAGGGGTAGGGGAGAGGGAGGAGGGGTAGGGGAGAGGGAGGAGGGGTGGGGGAGGGGGAGGGAGGAGGGGGAAGGGCAGAGGGTGGGCAGGGAAGGAGAGAGAATCCTACAATCTCTCCTTCTACACCACCATCCTCCTGTGCTACCTAAAGGCAACAGCCAATTACAGAAGGGAAAGTCAGACTTCCCTCACATGTGATTCCCTCTTAGCATTTCCCTAAAACTTGGCCTTGAAGTGGGTCAGGAAAGGGCTTTCTACTGCCAGTACAGGCAGGATGGCCTACAGGGTGACTTTTCTTTCCAACTGCATCATCACCCACTCCCTCTGGTCATAGGGAGAATGACACAGAAAATATATCACTAATTTTTTTAACTTACCATTGGTTTCCATGCTTGCCAGTGCTTGGGGAGTATAGGACACCCCCCGAAATGTAGTCACCATGGCGCTCGCACCACTGAAGTCTCGGTATCACTGCATCTGAGAAAGGCAGGGAAAATGAAAGACAGCATGATAATTGTTTGCTCTTCCTCATTATGAAGAACCAAGACACCAAAAGATTTTAAGTTATTAATCAAGAATAGTGCCATGAGTATGAAGGTAAAAATTGATAAATATCAAGAAAACCACAAAAAAAGTAATATAAGATACAATTTGATAATGGAAGGAGGGAGAAGAGAAGACAATTAAAATGTACTATTTGGGTCAATGTTCACTGTTATAGAAATGGAAGTTTTAATACATAACATTACATATGTACAATAATATCTAAAGTATGATAACAACAAACATTTCAAATTATAAGCAGAAGCATAACAGGAAACCACACCATGTATTAAAGCATGAAAAACAAAATGAGCAATAAAAAAAGAAAATTTAGGGGCTCCCTTGTGGTACAAGGGCTTCAGTCTCAGCACTATGAAGCTATCCACAGCCACTGCAGCACGACTAGTTTGACCCCCAGTCAGGGAGCTACCCACATGGTGAGGCAGACCTCTCCTGATTCGACGGTGCTCCCCTCAGCAGTGTATTTCAGTCAGTCTGCCTATTCTGTTCCCCACTCTGTCTCTGGTGAATCCTCCCACCAGCGTACACCTCTGGCCTGCACCCTGGCTCTTATATGCATAAATAAATCTTAAAAAAAAAAAACGAAAATATAACATATGAGGGCATTCTGAAACCAAATGTATCCCATCAATTAGTATACATGGGCTAAAGCTTCCCTCCTTTAAATAACAATCCAAAATTAATTTTTTATGTTTATAGTGGATCTCCAGTCTCCAAACCAAAAGGCATTCAGAAAAGTTGAAAGTAAGTAAACAAAGGAACAAAATTTTTTAAAACAGGCAATTATAAGCCCAAACAAAATAATAATTAAGATCCTAACATCAGACAATAATCACAAAGAATGCTATTTTATGTCAAAGGGAACAGTCTAGAGAGAATGTTAAGTAATTACAAAACTTTTCCCAATTAACATTAACATAAAAAAATATTCAGGAGCCTCCCTGGTGGTGCAAAGGGTTGAGACCAGCCTATGAAGCTATGCACAGCCACTGCAGCACGAGTTCGATCCCTGGCCAGGTAGTTACTCACATGGTGCAGCAGACCTCTCCTGTCTTGCCCGCTGCTCCCCTCAGCAATGTATTTCAGTCTGCCTGTTCTGTTCCCCACTGTCTCTGGTGACTCCTCTCACCCTCCCACACCTCTGGCCTGTACCCCAGTTCTTGTATCCATAAATAAATCTTTAAAAAAACATATTAAGTTCCAGTAATAGGAATGCAGTAAAAAAAATATCAGTTATAATAAAATGTAAATCACCTCTCTCAATCTGTAAAAACTGAAATGAATAAAAGTAATTAATGGATTTAGAGACCTAAATAGATGCAAATATTTTCTGATAATTAGGTATTTAACTCTATATGCTAAAAGCAAAAAAAATCTCAATATGGAATATTTTTAAAAATTGATGAGGTATTTAGCACAAAGCAAACATCATTAAGTTCCAATACACTGGGATCACAAAGCAGACAAAAAAACTTCAGAAAATCCAATGTGAAAATTGAGAAAATAACACAATAAAGGTGTTCCATATGAAAAGATTTGAAAGCCATTAAAATTTATGTTCAAAAACATAGAAAAATCCTTGGTCTTAAATATATACATTAATTCACCAGAAAGAATGAAATTCAATTAATTGTTGAAATAAAGAAATTGGAAAAAAGAAAAGTATTAAAAAGTAGGCTAAGAAGAATGGAAGGAAAATTTATAAAAGTCAGTAGAAGTGTGTCATTCATCAGGCATAAAAATTGGTAAAACTATGGAATAAATTAAGGTTGTGTCTATTTAGAGAAATACAATAAGGAGAGTAAAGATTTGCCAAAATTTCTCAGAGGATGAGAGAACATTCATACTAAATAAGAAATGAGAATGTGGAAATAACCACATAGGGACTGAACATGAAAGTATTCCTATGAGTTAACTTTGTTCAATTCTACACAAGTAAACCTTAAAATATATATAAGACTGATAATTTTCTAAGAAATTGTTAACTTTCTTGCCAAAGAAGATATGGAAAAGCTGAATGAACAGTAGGTGAGATTTAGAGGACAGCTAGTGTCTCTTCAAAAAGGACAAACTATACAAACTGTTCTTTTTTAATGATATTTAAAATGCTTTGGAACATCTAATAAGCAGAAAAGCTTTCCAATTATTTCGTGATATGAGCTTGAAAGTGAAAGTAAAACCTTAGGTAGTCCCCCAGTGAAAAATTCTAGATAAATCTCAATTATAAACAGTCAGAATTTAGCAACAAATATCAACTCAATGAAGGACAGCAAAGTAATGAAAGACATTACATCAACTAGATGTGTTTTATGAAAGTGAAAGGTTATTTTAATACTAGGAAATTTATTGATAGGATCAAATTATTTATGACTAGCAAAATACCTTCATAAAGCAGGATTACTTCGCTACATACTCAACACATGGTATCTTGATCTTTCTCTCAATCTCTTTCTCCTGCACTGACCCCCCTAGGGACACTGGAAACCTCTCAAAGGACTTACACATGAGGCCCAAGAAGATGTAGAACAGAAAGAAATAAACAATGACAAGCGATTTGCTTGCATGTGACTTCAACTCAAATGATACAGGATAAATCAGGGTCATGTCATATTCATCACAGATAATAAATTGAAATCCATCCATACTTTAAGTGATAGGGTTTGTATAAAGAAACACTTAGGTGTTCGATGGAACACCAACATCATTTGGGGAAAAAGTATGGATAAATACAAAAGGTTACCAATTACTGGCAGAGCTCACTTTCTTATAATACAGATTGAAGGAAATGATGCCACATGAAATTGTTTTACACATCTGTCAAAAGCAAACTAAAATGATTATATCCTATTTCACGCTGTTTTAAACAGTGAGGTTATTTTTTTTTAATACTAGACTCATAATCTCATTGTGACTGCTTGATACCAAGAGCCACTATAATGTAATGGAAGAAAAATAAATAAGTTATCAAAAAAGGAATTTTCATTCACGTTAAAAAATAAATTGGACAAGGATGAGAAGAATAAGACACTAAAATATTATAGATACTAGTTTCATAGATATATACTATCAGTATATAAAAAGTCTTAGCATCATTTATTTTATTACAAAAGTGTCTTGTCTAATGAATACATAAAGCATGTTAACTCGATAATCAGTTTAATGATGTAATATAATTGAATACATTGTTAGATTATGTAACTAGGTATACATTTAGCAGTAACATATATAAAAGTTTCCTCTTCAAAATTTTGTATCCCCAGCTCTGCCATGTGACCTTGAGAAAAACACTTGGTCTCTGAGTCTTGGTTTCCCATCATTAAAATAATATAATCAAATAGGGCCTCCCATGGTGGCACAGGCTGTTGAGCACAGCGCTATGAAGCTGTCCGCAGCCTCTGCAGCGCCAGTTGGATTCTGGCCTGCCGGGGAGGGTCCCACATGGCACGACAGACCTCTCCTGCCTCCCCCGCTGCTCCCCTCAGCAGTGTATTTCCTCAGTCTGCCTGTTCTGTTCCCTGGTCTGTCTCTGGTGAATCCTCTCACTTTCCTGCGCATTTGGCCTGTACCCGGCTCTTGTATAAATAATCTTAAAAAAAAAAAAATTCAAATCCCAACTGCTCTACTTGCACAGTGCTCATGGCAGGCTTTTTTTTTTTTTTGAGAGGAACAAGTGGCCCTCAGTTGATACAAGACATTTTTAATGTATACTTGCAGCAAAGGAACCTGGATTCTAAGTAAATACTAGCATTACAGGGCACGTATTTTCTGACTACCCTAGGCTATGTTTAGTCATAGGTTGAGCTGAATTGAAACCTGAGAGTCTGGAAATGCTATCAATATATTCAATATAGATTAACCACTCAGTAGAATGCAGGGTTGGAAGGGGCGAAAAGTAGATTTTGAGTAGAAGGGATATCAGCATATTCATCTATGCAATCCTTCCAGCTCTCTCTCTCTCACACACACTATCCCCTTGACTGAATCATTATTCCTTTATACCAATGCTGTATATTAACATAATGAATCATTCAAGAGCACACCGACTAAAGTGGGTCAAATTCATTTGGAAAGAAAGACCATGTACTTAAACTTAGGAAATACACCTTTGCAATGTCAGGTTCATCGCCTCACTTAAACAACATGGATCGACTTCTCCAACCATCCTTGATTTCATTCTTTTCATCACGGGTGAGCCTGGAAACCCCTAGTACTTCCCTCTCCAGACTCGCCCCCTGCGGGCTTTTCAATGTGCCGCAATTGCAGTGTAGTCAACTGGGAGCAGTAGGCGTCCAGTAAGGAGCAGTGGAGCAGCTGACTCTACTGACATTGCCTCTGACTCTCCTCCTCCTTGCCTGGCAGGCGGGACACAGACGCCCAACAGGACCGCAGACGCACAGGGAGCTTGGCGTGAACACCGCCCACGGGGCTAACGGGACAGGAAGGCCAGAGACACCTGTTCTGTGCAGCAGCCTCAGCAGCATCCCCGCCGGGGCAGCTGCGTCCTGTTCTGAAGGACTGAAAGCCCGTCTCTGTTCAAGCTCCCCCGTGACCCCCATGCTGTCACTTAAAGTGTCTCCCTGACTGACAGGCTTGTTCACCACTGTGCAGCAGAGAATAAACTTCGCAGAGAGCCCGGGGACACGGGGGAAACCTCGACTTTATTCCCCTGACACTGTTTATTGTTCATGCTCGCCCCAAGATCTGGTTAAAGGAAGAGAAATCACGAGGAACAAAGTGTCTCTCCTGCATCAACTTATTGTAAGAAAGCCGGCTCTCCCGGCTCTCCCGGCTCTCCCGGCTCTCCCGGCTCTCCCGGCTCTCCCGGCTCTCCCGGCTCTCCCGGCTCTCCCGGCTCTCCCGGCTCTCCCGGCTCTCCCGGCTCTCCCGGCTCTCCCGGCTCTCCCGGCTCTCCCGGCTCTCCCGGCTCTCCCGGCTCTCCCGGCTCTCCCGGCTCTCCGGCTCTCCCGGCTCTCCCGGCTCTCCCGGCTCTCCCGGCTCTCCCGGCTCTCCCGGCTCTCCCGGCTCTCCCGGCTCTCCCGGCTCTCCCGGCTCTCCCGGCTCTCCCGGCTCTCCCGGCTCTCCCGGCTCTCCCGGCTCTCCCGGCTCTCCCGGCTCTCCCGGCTCTCCCGGCTCTCCCGGCTCTCCCGGCTCTCCCGCTCTCTCCCGGCTCTCCCGGCTCTCCCGGCTCTCCCGGCTCTCCCGGCTCTCCCGGCTCTCCCGGCTCTCCGGCTCTCCCGGCTCTCCCGGCTCTCCCGGCTCTCCCGGCTCTCCCGGCTCTCCCGGCTCTCCCGGCTCTCCCGGCTCTCCCGGCTCTCCCGGCTCTCCCGGCTCTCCCGGCTCTCCCGGCTCTCCCGGCTCTCCCGGCTCTCCCGGCTCTCCCGGCTCTCCCGGCTCTCCCGGCTCTCCCGGCTCTCCCGGCTCTCCCGGCTCTCCCGGCTCTCCCGGCTCTCCCGGCTCTCCCGGCTCTCCCGGCTCTCCCGGCTCTCCCGGCTCTCCCGGCTCTCCCGGCTCTCCCGGCTCTCCCGGCTCTCCCGGCTCTCCCGGCTCTCCCGGCTCTCCCGGCTCTCCCGCTCTCCCGGCTCTCCCGGCTCTCCCGGCTCTCCCGGCTCTCCCGGCTCTCCCGGCTCTCCCGGCTCTCCCGGCTCTCCCGGCTCTCCCGGCTCTCCCGGCTCTCCCGGCTCTCCCGGCTCTCCGGCTCTCCCGGCTCTCCCGGCTCTCCCGGCTCTCCGGCTCTCCCGGCTCTCCCGGCTCTCCCGGCTCTCCCGGCTCTCCGGCTCTCCCGGCTCTCCCGGCTCTCCCGGCTCTCCGGCTCTCCCGGCTCTCCCGGCTCTCCCGGCTCTCCCGGCTCTCCCGGCTCTCCCGGCTCTCCCGGCTCTCCCGGCTCTCCGGCTCTCCCGGCTCTCCCGGCTCTCCCGGCTCTCCCGGCTCTCCCGGCTCTCCCGGCTCTCCCGGCTCTCCCGGCTCTCCCGGCTCTCCCGGCTCTCCCGGCTCTCCCGGCTCTCCCGGCTCTCCCGGCTCTCCCGGCTCTCCCGGCTCTCCCGGCTCTCCCGGCTCTAGGAAAGGCTACTGGCTATTGGCTGGTGCAGCTGGTGACCCATCAAGCTTGTTGCCTAAGGACCTGCTCAAACAAGGAGGGCGAAACCGCTCCCTTCACACATGGCGCCTGTGGTCACAGGCCAAGCTCCATCAGGCTCCTGGCCTTCGCTGGCTGTGGTCTCACCCACATCCTCACCCCCAGGATGCACCCACTGAGATTGGCAACACTGTTCTCTTTTGGGGCTAATCGCCCAAAGCCCAGAGGTACTCCCACTGCCATGCCCACTCTCAGCCTTCTTCGCCACCAGTGTGACAAGCAGACCCCTGCACTAAGGCCCACCCTTCGCACCTGCACATGGGTCGAGGACCCATGGGTACCAACAACCACAAATGGCCTTTCTGGTGCCCCCTTTGGCTGTGGTCTCCATAAGCCATGTTCCCCACAGCCCCAAAGGACGGATTCCTCAGCACCTCCCCCTTATCAAAAAAGTGAACAAGGCATCGCCAACAGTTGATTTTAAGAGGCTCACCTGCCTTCTGTAACATCCATCGGCTGCTTAACATCCACTCAGGACTTTCCGGCCTCGGCATCAGCTTTTTGTTGCATCTTCTCTTCCTGGCTGTAGAGAACATCCCACAGGCTCCATTAGGCAATCAAGGACCACCAGCCGTCCCTGATTCTCATCTCCTTGGGTTTGCAAATGAGCCCTTCCATCCCCAGGTTCCCATAATTACATCAATCTGCCAGCTTTCCCCACCTTCTGGCAGGATTGTTAGCCCAAGTCTGAGTTTGTCTTCACGTCAGCACTGGAGTGGGGGGGGGGTCTGAATGATGAACTGTGGTCTCTCATCCCCAAATCATCCCACCCATCTCAGGGGTCATGGGCTTTCCTCGCAGGCTGTCTCCTCCTCTCCTTGAGGTTTTGTCCCATATCTCCCAGACTTTTCCCACCTCCTGTGCTCCTGATGCATCTCCAGCTCTTCTCGAAGATCCTGACTCTGGTCACCTGTGCTGCCATGGCGCCTCCAGCTTTGTCCATTTGCAGAGCTGTGAGGGAACACAACCCCAGCCCTGTCTGAGCACGCACAGTATCAGTCCAATGCCTCCCCACCATGTGCAGATTCCTTTCCCACTGCACAGGGGATTCATCCACCTCTGGGGAGAGGCTCACAGAGAGGAGGCCCGCCACAGAGCATTACATGCTCACAGTCTGCCACCTCTCAGTCCCTCCATGGGCTTCAGAGGACTCCATACCTGTCTGCATCAAATCATCCTGCAGATCTAACCCACTCCTAGTACAGGCAGGCAGCAGGGCAGAGCCGGTGAAGGAGGGTCTTGGCGCCCTCAGTGGGTTCTTCAGGCTTTTAATCTTTCTACACCGTTTGTAGAGGTAACCAGGTGCAGGGCAGGCAGGGGGACTTGGGGGATAGGCGGCTGGCAGGCCTCTTAGTCTTCTCAGCGAATGTTGGGGCTCTCTGGGGCTCTCCACGGCGCTCTGCTGCAAGGTCCTCAGCTGCTCGCGAACCTCTCTGACGCCACCCTTATATGCGCAGTCTCTAGGCCCAGGCGTGCCCACTTACGCATGCCCACACCACACTCCAGGTGTCCACCATTGGGCATGCGTACTCCAGCCCATGCGCCCAAGCGCCTCCTACATTCAAGGCAGCAGATGATAGCCACAAAGGCCAGTGGCACAAAAGCTTGCGCATCCCTGTTTACCCTGTAGTCATACATTCCTCAAAGCTTATTATATCACATGAGATGACTCTATACCAATTATTTTCTTTTTCATGATGCTTGAGGAGTTCCAGAGAAATGTATCACAGAAAAGCTTTATGAAATGGCTCCGACATATGCCAATTACCTAATTTTCAAAATGAAAAGCATGTGGAAACTTGTGTAACAGAGTAACAAAATCAACGATTTCTCTAGCATTATTTATATATCAGGGATGTCCCCAAGTGATTTTACACATAACATCTAATTTAATGTTTCTACTACAAGTATTCCTAGATGGTAACATTATTCTATTTTGTAGAATAATGATTTGAGAAATAATAATTTGAGAAATCTGAGGTTTACAGGGTTGCATAACTCACTTCAGGTGAGACGCATAATGATGCAAAATGCTTATTCGAGTTCGGATCTTTGATTCCAATGTCCGTCTCTTCAAACAACAATATTCTGCTGCCCACTGAAAATACCACTTTTTAATGAATGTAGCAGATATCAGCTCTACTTCTTTTTCTCCCTGCTGCATCAAAAATCCAACCAAACACAGCTTTAACTCTCATCACATAGTTATTACTATGAGAAAGCATGTCATTAGCAAGCTCTTTTACTCCAGAGTCATATAAAAGTGTTTCCAAAAATCTGGGATGAGACAATTTTCTGCCCAGATTCCCAGTACACTTTTGTGCTGTGGCATGAAGTTCATGCCCAAGAGCATTGCTGATTTTAGGTTTTTTTTTAAAGATTTATTTACGCATACAAGAATGGGGTTACAGGCCAGAGATATGTGTGGGGTGTGTGTGTGTAAGAGGATTCACCAGAGACAGAGTGGGGAACAGAACAGGCAGACTGACTGAACACATTGCTGAGGGGAGCAGTGGGCAAGTCAGGAGAGGTCTGCTGTGCCATGTGGGTTGCTCCCTGCCCGGGCATCGACCTCATGCTGCAGTGGCTGTGGTTAGCTTCATAGGTTGTGTCTTAACCCCTTGCATCACCAGGTAGGCCCTGATTTTAGCTTTGAGCACAGATTATGAAAGTGAAGGTATTGTTACAACTGATAGAGAAAGATGAATCATAATCTGCATACCTCTTAAAAGTGATTTAAGATGACGTCAAATAAAAAAGAACAGGCATAACAAAAATCCAAGGAGATATGATTAAAAACCAAAGCAATTTTCAAAATAAAATTAATAAGATAGGTTCCACCCACCAAAAGAGAAATATGAATGAGAAAAATTGTTCCAGAAAAGGATTAAAAAGAGAAATTGCTGCAAGTGTGAGTACAGTTTAATTCAGGCATTTCTGGAAGCCCAGCTGAATCAGGAAAAAAGATGAATTCAGGAGCTCCTCTCGAACTTGACCATACATGTGCATCAGCTGGAGATCTTGTTAAACTGCAGAATCCAATTCAGTATGACTAAGTTGGGGCAAAAACTGAAAGTTTAGCAAGTTCCTGAATGATATAGTCTACACTTTAAGTAGGAAAAAAGCTATACTGATAGTCCAATAACCGAAACCTAACATCAAAACAAAGGTTTTTTTTTTTTTTCTCTGCATGTTAAGGACTGTTCACCCCAAATTTGCACACTGCTGTCTTTGCCCAAGGATCTAAGTTTCATTGTAGATGTCATTAATTAAGATTAGGTTATTAGAGTGGGCCCTAATCCAAAATGACTGGTGTTCCTATTAAAAGGGGAAATTTGGAAACAACATAACCACACAAGAACAGGATGTGAAAATGAAGGCAAAGATAGAAGCAAGGCTTCCCCAATCCCAGGAACGGCAATGAAGGCAGTAAGCCATCAGAAGGTAAGGAACTGCATAGAACAGCTTTTGCCCTACAGCCTCAGAAGGAACCATCCCTCTTGACATCTTCATCTTGGACTTCTAACATCCAGAAATATGAGATAATAAGTTTCTCTTGTTTAAGCCACCAAGTTGTGGTATCTGTTACAGCAGCCATAGCAAACTAATATAGAAAAATGCCTGCATAGAGGGAATATTGCACCACGGGTCATCCTCGGGTCCCTTAATTCTGAGTGTTTGTTCCCTCCTCTCCAGACACAGCTTTCTTTCACCATCATTAGCATGCTTTCACTTTGGTGAGCTACTGTCTGCAATATCCAGTCAGTTGGGCACCAAGTAAAATCAATGAATGGTATTCTGTTCTTTCCAATTTGAATAGATGTACTGTTGTGATTTTCTGGGTCTCAAGAGGAAAATGAGGCTAAAAAAGAAAAGGATTTCTCTTCTCACAGTTGCTTTCTTTCCAAGACTTCAAACTGATAAAGAGCTCCAAACTTTTCCACTTTCTAGATATGTATATGGTTATCTGTTTTTAAAACTTTAAGAGGTTTTTTATCTTATTTCTTGAATTTTTTTTCTCCTCATCTGATCAAAAGAGCAGTCTAGAGAATTAATGCATCTGTGGTTGTCACTGACATTTTAATCCTTTACTAGTTTCTTTGTCATTCTGTCCAAGTTATCTGGTATGATGTCAGGTAATGATACGTGGAGCTGACTCTCTGACTATCATCAGGAATACTGTAATATATAGCTACTATATGTGAATGCAATATATCACTAATGTAATTTACTGTAATATATAGCAAGTTTATATTACTATGATATATAGCTACTATAGATTACTGTAATATAAGCTAGTATATATTACTGTGACATAGCTAGTGTGTATTGCTGTAACATGCACCTAGTATATATTGCTGTAATATGTAGCTAGTGTATATTACTATAATATATAGCTAGTATATACTAGTGATATATAGCCAGTATATATTATTATAATAAGTAGAGAGCACACTCATTTTTCTTTTGGATATAGAACACACATTTTGATTTACTGCCTGCTTAAAGAGACACCAAGACTAACAGGTGATCTAACAGACTAATATGGGTCCTTATTTGAACACAGATGAAATAGACAACATAGATAAAATAGAACTTGAGAAGTGACTACAATTGTTAAGTGCCCCCTACCTTCTTTCAAAGGAAAAATTGCTCTGAGCAATGTAAACAGTCAAGAAAGATTTCATTTACAGTCATTACAGTAGGAGGGGGAGACCAGAATTCAGTCTGAACTCAACTCCACCAAAATAAAGTAAGAGCAGTTTAAAAAAAAAAAACTTGAATGGGGGTGAGGATCATAGGATACCAATGCTTAGTAGTTGGCCCTGCCCGATGGAAAATGAACTTGCCTGTTTCTTCATAAGAGTTAGTTTTTCTTTTTCTTCTTTTTTAAGATTTTATTTATTTATGCATACAAGAACTGGGGTATAGACCAGAGACGCGGGGAGGGTAGAGGATTCACCAGAGTCAGAGTGGGGAACAGAACAGGCAGATTGACTGAAATACACTGCTGAGGGGAGCAGTGGGCGAGTCAGGAGAGGTCTGCTGTGCCATGTGGGTAGCTCCCTGGCCGGGGATCAAACTCGTGCTGCCGTGGCTGTGGACAGCTTCATAGGTTGCATCTTAACCCCTTGCACAATGAGGGAGGCCCCCATAAGAGTTAGTTTTACAACTTGGAGCAAAGCACCATTGGATTAAGGCTTCTACCTTCCCTACTACAACAGGGATGGGAGTGTGTGCTCCTTGATGATTATATTTTTAAAGGAGGATCCCATGTCCTAGAGAAAGACAGTTGAAGGTTGAAAACCTTAGAAGAAGCTTTCAAGGAAAATATTTACATCTCAAATACAGAAATAATTTAAAATTATTAGTTTCGCAACCAATTATCTAAAGAAAAAGAGGACAGAGGCTCATAGACAAGAAGATTAGGCACAGCTTGAGGGAAATGTTAATGTTCTCTTGGTCACCTGATATCATGTGGGTAAATGTTACATTGCACAGGTTTCCAATTACAAAGTTGGCAACCACTAGGAGACATTGGCGAGCACAAATGTAGCTTGAGTTATATTTTGAAATCAAGTCCAGATGTGCTTATTTCAAATGTTCCATAATCATTCTGGGCCTCAGAATGCTGATGTAGAAAATGAGTGCTTGAACTAATTTTTTTGGACAACTTGAGTTCTAACTTTGCCGCTGGTGCAGTCAAATATTAGTATAATATGAAAGAACATTCACAAAACAAAATTCTAGGCAGCCTCTAATCAACTGTTGGGTTTCTGCTATGAAGCATTAACTAGCAGTTTGCTTTCATGCATTTAACCAGATAATAGAGAAATCCTGTGTGGATAGCTAATTTCCACATTCCATTGGTCATCAAACCAGCTGAAGATTTATGAAAATACAAATATCTCGTCCCCTCCTCCTGCATATTCTGATTTCATAAATTTCAGGTGGCTCCAGGGAACTTGACTTTCTAAAAAAAATCTTAAGTTACAAATAAGTAGATATGTTTGGGAATGAGAAGTTGAAGTACATTGGTGGTGACATGTCTCGTGAGATAATTGTGAGGTATGATACAGAATTTTTTTCCTTCCATTGTAGATTCTATAGTGATTTTTTAAAATGTGTAGTTGAATAGATTGATTCAAGTAATTGATACAGTGGTTAAAAGCAAAAACAATTCATGAAAAATTTCTTGTCCAGTATTTGAAGTTATTCTTGCTGGTTACTGGTTATGTAACCAATTACCAAAATGGAATTTGCCAAATAAACAAAAAGTTGGATCTGTTGACTTTATTATCAATTTACTAGTATTTTCTTAGAGAGGAGGAATTAATAACTTTGACCTGTCTCTCCAAGTCACCCAGCCTGAGTCCCTTAGTTTGGTGAACAAACCAAAGAATGGCAGCCTCAGAGACAGGCGAACTTTCCAGCTCCTTCCCCACAGCCTGAATTCCATTGGTATAAGACCTTAAATCCACATCAGTTTTTCTCTATAAAATTCAAACAATTGCCTAACTGCTTGGTGTTTTGCTGTATGTAAAGATTCTGTTTAATTTAAACTATTTTGCTAAAATAGGATATGGGGAATAAATAATGGCTGTAAACCATCTGTTTAGGATCTGCAGAAGACCTCA